GAGGAGGAGGAGGAGGAGGAGGAGGAGGTCAACAAGTTTTCAAAAACAAGATACAAGACACAATGTGTGCAAGAGAATTGTGGTTGGTATATCATGGCAACCTCAATAGAAAAGGGCAAGGTGTTTCATGTACGAAAGTTGGTTGACGTACACACTTGTTGAAATACCCAAATGCATCCAAGTAACTGTCAAGCAAAAAAAAATATATTGGGTCATATATTGACAAGTAATTTCTAGATACTAGCAGGGTATTTCAGGGACATGATATTGTGCAAGATATAAATGAACAGTTCAAAATTAGTATTTCGTACTTGCAAGCTTGGCGTGCAAAATGTCATGTACTATACATGGTGAGGGGTAGCACTAAGGATTCATTTACCTAACTCCCTGCATTTTTCTATAATCTATAGCTCCAAAATCCAGGTACTATCACCAAACTTAGCTCCAAATCTATAACATATATTCTTTCTAAGATGACCCACAGATCCCCTTTTATCTAAGATGACCAAATAAACCTACCTTCGTAGTAAGTGTATTTGTACATTGAAAGTATGTGTATTTGCTCGTGATAGAAAAAAAGGGGCTACCTGCTCATCTTATCATAAGAACGATGTATTTTAATTATAAGATGCCTTGGTAGCTACCTTTTTTCCTAATATATCAAATATACATACCTTCGTGGTAAGTATGTTTGTACATTGAAGGTACGTATATTTGCTCATGATAGGGAAAAAAGGGCGCTAGCTGGTCACCTTATCATAAGAATCGTGTATCTTAATCATAAGATGACCGGGTAGCTACATTTTTTCCTGACATAACCAAATATATCTACCTTCATATTGCTTGGTGAATGATTTTATCCATGTGTAATAGGGAATATATACATATGTAAAAGTAAATATTGGATGACGTACATATTATCGAATTTGTAATAACTTAGTTCAAATAAAAAAACCGTACAATCTTATAAAATAACGATTAACATATAAAAAACTATTCCTCCCCCCCTTACTTTTTTTGAGGTACTACTTGCGTTAGAGAGCAGAATCTAGAATTTTTTTGAATTTCTGAAGGGTTTTCAAATCATGGATGTATCACTTACGGACCTGAATGAAAAGTGAATTTTTTTGTCTTTTAGCTACCTCTACAAGTTATGAAGTTACCGCTTACAGATATAGTAATATTCTGATAATCGTACAAAAGAAATGAATATGAGATATTCCGGTATCTAGAAATAGCTGCTTTAATTAATTTTTCTATAATTTAACCCACTTTTATAATATATTTTTTATTTTATTTTATTCGGTATATAAAGCCATCAACTTCACATCATCTCCCTACCTACTTTCCGATCTTCATTTAAATTCTTTATTTCTCATCTTCATCTCTGCAAATATTATTTAACAGATTCGATATTTTTTTTGAAGCTTTGTGTAGTTTTAATGGCAGCAACATCCTTTGTGACTTGTGGTTTGACCAGCTTTCATAAGCTTTCATGTCAAAGATTTGATCCCCTCTCCTCCTCCACCACCGCCACCGTCGCAACCACCACCTCTCGGTTGTCACTACCAAAATCCATGGTGGCGGGTGGGTGTTTTTCACCAGCTAACCGGAGATATCTCAGCTCCGATGACCGGACATCTCAGCATGGCAACAGATCAAAGATGTAAGTGAAGATCTTGAATTTATTTATTAAAAAAAAGGATTAAAAGCTATTAATAATTAATTAATTGTTATTAATCTTGATTTTATTAATAACAGGGAGTTTGTAGTCTACAGTGCCGATCAAGTTGCAGATCTTCTACCTTTTGGAATTCAACTGCCTGAAAATTGGTTCGTTTATTTACAAATATTTCTTTTTTTTTAATTAAATGGATATTTCAGAAATTTATTTTTGGGTTTTAATTAGATCTTGAAAAGTTGGATCCATCAAAATTGGAATTGCTTATTTGAAACAATTTATGATTTTTTGTAAAAGTCTTTATCAACTTATCGTAAGTTAGAATGATTTAATTTTTTCAAAAACTTCTTATTACCGGTTTGACACCTGTATAAATTGTTTATCCAAACAACACTAAAAAAATGTTTATTACTAGCGCGACACCAAAATAAGTTAATAAGTTGTTTTTATAAGCAAACCCAAACACTCCCTAATTATTATTTTTTTCAGTTTCTGTTAACTAATTACAACATTTTCCGTTAAATATCATATTTTGGATGTCAAATTGCATTAAAACATACTTTTAAATACATATTTAAGTGATTTAGGTATTTAACAAACTAGCTTTTAATTAAACATTAGCGTTGATAAACCAATTATATTCTGTAAAAATTAGTTAAATAGCTAAATGACAATTGTGAACAATGACGGATTCAGGATTTTTGTTCATTAGGGTCATCTTTAAGGTAGATTAAAGGCCTGTAAAATCGTGATGTGTTTTTAACCTAATTACAATGTTTTGAGGAATTTTTAAAGTTTCTTGGTTTGATTTCGAGAGATTTTTTAGTGTTTTTGTCGATTTCGAATAACTTTTTTTAATTGATTTGAATAAATTTTTTTTTTGTTAGGGTAACGGTTTCGATTGGGCTTGGGGGCTGTGGAAAAATGTAATGGAGGGAAGTGAAAGTTAAATGATGTAAAACCTAGAATTTGGTTAGAGTAACGGTTTCGATTGGGGTTGAGGGCCGTTGATTGATCTTCCTCTTTTTGATCAATTTTTTTTGTTTTTCAATTATCCCTCTTTTTTGATATGTTTATACATACTCCAATAAAATGTTGTAAAAGAGGGAGAACCGAAAGAAAAAGAATAGATCAAAAAGGAGATCGAGGCAAGGCAAATAGTGGCGATGATGGTGTGGAGAACGGATGACGATGGGGCGACAATAGGGTTTGAATGGCACAGGGTTTGGGAACCATAAGATTTACGTTTTATTTACTTTAAAATCTTCCTAGTTGATTACATGTAGTTATTTGGGTTAAAAGAATGTTGGTAACCAATTTTTAAAAATTCAATAACTTGTTTACCTAAAAAAATTTAATCATTCAAAATGAGAAATTTAAGTGTTAGGTTTTATAAATTTGTATACTTGTGCAGGCCGGCGTGGCTTCCGGGAGTTCTTTTGGCAGTTGTTGTTCCATTTTTCACAAATAAATGGGGGCCCTTTTCAAAATTTAAAGGTATTTTCCACTTTTCTTTCTATCGATATCTTTTACTTGATTTTAATGTTTATCAATATTAACGCAAGGGTGGTGCCTGATTGGTTTGAGCTTGACTCTAAAAGTCAAAGTACCAGGAGGTCTTAGGTTCAAATCCAAGAATGAATAAAAATCCCCTTGTGGACACGGAGGTTCAAATACGGTGACTCCGAACTATCTGCAAAACAGGTGGTCACCTTAGGATTAGTCGGCTCGCATAGCGGGTTGGATATCTAGATTAATAAAAAAAAATGTTGATCAATATTCAAACCATTTTATTGATACAAAAATAATCAGAAACTTTTTTAAAATCATGAGTGATGGACTAATTAATGTCTAAGGGCATCTTCAATAGTTATGTTAAAACAGAGAAAAGAGAGATTTTAAACATTTTTTTCCTCTAACAACTATGCTATCTTGTATGTTAAAATACAGACAAGAGGAGAGAGGAATTATTATTTTATATTTTTTCTAATATTTATTGAATATTTTAATAATATAATATATGTTAGAGTTGCTAAAATATAGTAGGTGTTGGAGTTAGAGTAATTTCTTTAGATATTTTGACTTTTAATACTTTATTTTATAGAAAATATAGCATAGCTGTTGGAGATGTCTTAACAAAACATGTTAATTACGACATGAAAACTATTATAACTTTTAAACGGAATATTCAGAAAGTTTGATAAAGATTTATCATTGAATGGGCAGCGGAACTCGACAAGGTAGAGGAGGCGGTGGATAATGTGGCAGATCGGGTGGGAGAAATGGCAGACAAAGTCGAAGATTTTGTTGGAGATATCGCAGATGATCTCCCGGAAGGTAGCCAATTTAGACAGACTTTGGAAAAAGTCGAAAAGATGGCCGATACCGTTGGCAAAGATGCTAAACTAGTTTCTGATATGGTCGATAAGGTAACTTTCATCCAAATCTTATGAAATAAAGACAACAACATAATAATCTAACTTATTGGCTTAGCTTGGCTGGTTAGACATTGGTTATTCAGCACATTGGTCTTAACTGTTTTTTAGAGCCACTGAATGATTTTTCGACTGCTAACTTCAAGGTCCGATGAGATTAATCGAGGCACATACAAGATAACAATACATTAAGATGGGTATTTTACGACACTCGATCGTTTCTAGATGATCTCATAAAGTACTTTATCATGACTTTAATTTTATAGGAACCGAGATTTGTGTGTACTATCGAACGGCGTTACAATTAGTTGTTAGGATGAAGTTAGATGATTTAACAAATTCTAGCAACGAAATTGATCAACTTAATAAAACATAAAAAATAAATTATTTTATTGATACTTAAAATATTCTATTAGCCTTTTTTATATACAAAATACTTTTCAAAAGTTTAATGTAAAAAGTCTAAATAAGAGTACTTGTTACTCTTGCTGAATTTTTGACAAGGAAATTTAATAGTTCATTTAATTTTTACAGTGAGTTTTATCTTTTAGTCATTTATCTTTCAAAATAACAAAAATAACCATAAGTTCGTAATTGACAGACCTGTAATTTACGGAGTTGTCAAAGTGCTTAAAGAAAAGGTTTCTGAATTAGCTCTCTTATTACAAAAACCAAATATGTAAAATTTTCTTTTTTCTACACTTTGATCGTCCCATAAATTGTGGACCTATCAATTGTGGACTTAGGATTATTTTCGTTATTTTGGAAGAGAAATAACTAAAAAGTGAAATCATGTAATCGAAATTACCATTTTAATTAATTTATTAAAAAAACTATTATATTATATAGACTTTGATAACAACTCTTTTCTTAAAAAATAATATCATTTTGTATGAAAAATTGGAAAAAGAGCCCACTTGCCTTTGCAAGTGGACTAGTGGAGTGGAGTGGAGTGGAGTAGCTCTCATTTGGTGCATGGAAAATATAGTTTAAATTTATATATAATTTAATAAAAATATTTCATATAAAATAATTAAATATTTAATTATTAATTTAAAACCAATATTTAAATAATTTTTTTTTTAATATACATAAACAAAACTCACATACATTTACCAATCTTTAACCTCTAAAAGGATTGCATTACTGAAATTATTAGACCAAAGTTTATTTGATAATTAATGAAATTATTGGTTGATGCCAAATAATATGTATTGCAGATGGATGAAATGGAAGCAAAATTGGAGGATATGATGGAGGAAGCGAGCGAGAAGAAGAAAAACACGACTGCTCCTACACCTACTCCTACTCCTACCAAAGTAGAGCCACAATAATAAGACTACCTTTTTTATGTACAACTTCTTTCCTTTTAGGTATAGGGATCGATAATCTTCAAACGTTGCCCATTTGCTTCGTTTCGTTCCGTTCCGTTCCGTTTTATTTATCGAATTTGGAACACCGAGATTTACTTATACCTTAAATTGTATGCGCTTTTTTGTTGAAAACATGTGAGATATGAAACACTGTATCGCCCGAAACAAACGGCTGTGAAGGACTTTCACTGTCATACCGCTTGTTTAAACGTTGTGATGGGTTAAATTCAAATACTTAATAGTAGAAGTTTTAACTTGGGTTCGATGTTCTTACCGATGTACCAAATCAATTAAACTTAAAATGAACATAGCCACTTTACCATTAGAGTTGCAATATTCGCTGAAATCGAAGGAAGTAAACTCTCCTCCTCTGTCAGTTCGGAGACAACATATAACATTTCCAGTTTCCCTCTCGACTAAACTTTCAAACCTTTTATACATAGCAAATGCTTCTGATTTAAGGTTCAAAAATCAAGTCTCACAACTTAACTTTCTGCTGTAATCATCCGTAAAAGTCAGTAAATACCTTTTATGGTTGTTTGACTCAGGTGTGATAGGACCACGTTGCAGCCATTCTAGTGTCGTTACCAAGCTTCATGGTCTGTCTAAAGGACTCATCGAGGTGGAGAAACCAGTGCTTATCACTGGTCATGTGATTGCTGCAACCCGAGTCGAGAAACCACATTGATTATTTTGGTTCTTCAAAATCAGTTTGAGACATCAATAACATTTCTTCCTCCGAATTTACTTCGACATAGTGAGCTCCTTTTTCCCAACTAGGACATTCATATTGGAAGGGTCCTAGTTTATGACATTTGTAGCACTCCACAATTGCTTTTGTTGAAACCTTGTCTGCCTCTGCCTCTGCCTCGAAAAACGGTTCGACCACCTCTTCCTCTTCCACCCTCGTATGAGACATTCAAAGCTTGCTCGTTGCTTCTATAGCTAACATGGATGTTCATTCTTTGTTCATGAACTAACAAGTTGCTTTGAAGCTCGTCTATGGTGAGCTGGTCCAAATCATTAGACTCCTCTACCGAACATACCACATAGTCAAATCTGGAAGTCATTGATCTCAATGATCATGACTTGTTCCACCTTCTCACCATGAGCTTTCATCTTATTTGCAATCGTTAATGTCTGAGCAAAGTACTCATTCACCTTCTCCTCTTCCTTCATTTGTAGTACTTCAAACTCTCGTCTCAAGGCTTGCAATTGGGCCCTTATAACCCGTGCAGTGTTGATCCTTGATATCATAGTTATATGGTTTTGAATAACGGATACCAACAAGTGGTATTGGAGTTTGGTCACTTGTTTTTTGCTATATTTTTCTAAGGCTATATATCACAGTTACGAAAGCAAGCACCACTTAATGAATTAAAACTCCACTTAATCAGTTTTAACTTCCAAAATATGGGACATTCATTTTTAAACCAACCATGGAAATGCACGTTTTAAATTTTTGTGTTAAACCTGTTTTCAACCCAAAAACTTTTCGGAAATTAAACCAACCAACGAAAACTAAATACAACCCAAAATGATAACTATTACGATATGATCGTGGACATATCTACCTGAATACTAATATATACATATATATATTATATATATATATATATATATAACTACATATACCTTAAGTGCTATTCAACGTCTCGATCTTAACCCAAAGCACACCAACTTGTCTTTCCCCTTATTAATTCACTTAACTTTCCTGTAAAATGTTGAATAATCCACGGGTAAGCGATTGCTCAATGAGTGGAATAGATTAACATGGTTATATGGTGATTATTTTATATATTTAAGGAAAATGGAACTTGAACCAATTGTAAGAAACCAATATAACGTAAAGAAAACCAAACAAGCATACCCAATCCTGTATATGTGAGCTATCGAATAGACTGCCCAAATACCCAAGAACCAAACATAAATACCAACATACGAGCATGAGCCAAGTGAATCAAGAACATAATAACCGATTAATACATAACAAACAAGAATCATATATCTCGCACCGAGTGCGTTGAACGTATCCATAGTAAACATCCCAATATCCATATCACATACAACGTACATAACAATCAAGATATCAAGAGTCAATGCACCACTTCTCCTTCTAGGTACGTGCCAAATCATGTACTCATGCCACCTCCTATCCACTAGCCAATGAGTACGACGAACCAGTTGTCTCACCCGTCCTCCGTCTCCTCAGGCTGTCGACATACACCGATCTTAGGCATACCGTAAAAAGTAGTACCCATACTCACGGTAATCCAAGAGGCCAATAAAACATGTACAAAGGAATGCCGGATCTAGGAAACGACCGACATTGCAAACAACGCATGAGACAGGAACCGACACCAAAGGAACATACAAATGCCAAACCAAGAGCAGAGGACTTATATCAAGGTATAATACAAAGAAAACACACACTCACACACACACACACATATATCTATATATATATATATATTTATATATATATATATATATATATAAATAAATAAGTATATGAACAAGTAATAAATTTAACTCGCAGTGCAAATATAGTCTCAACTGAGCGTCAAACCGGAGGTTCCGTCCCAACTCCATGATTTGAAGTCAAATCACTCACGAAGAGTCCCCAACAATACTACCTAGAATACGTACATCCCAATACATTAAGCATTGTACCATACTAGCACATTCTAACCCCATAATGGTTTGACTTTTCTAACTTTGGTTCTATGTTACAACACCGTTTTTAAACCCTGTTTTACCCTATTTAAACTCAAAATCACACTTTGACTTCAAAAGATGAATTAAATTAGACTCTTCTAAATTTTCAATGATACCAATTACACATTCATATGAATTTTATATGATTTTTTACAATTTTTACAAAACAACAGCTACACAGGCTGTCAAAATTCAATTTGACAACACTGTACAAAGTGCACTTTTACCTATCTTAAATCTGAAATTACATTATGATGTCTAAAGATAAAAAAAAAACTAGACATTCATATGTTTAAAATGCCAATGGAATCATCCTTATACGATTTTTGTATGATTTTATATGAATTTTACAAAACAGTACTGAAACTTGACTTTTCAACACTAAAACCTTCAATTTCCATCATTTCTTAACCAAACTTTGTCCAAATCTTACCAAACTCAGATTTTATAGTATAAAATTAACTAAATTTTATAAAATCATTGAAAATCCAAGCATTTTCTCACAAAATCATCATTTTTCAATAGTTTATATGTGAATCACATAAGTTCATATATGAACCTGTTTGCCGTCTATTTATAAAAATTATGAAACTACCCTCTTTATTTTTTCTTTGCCATAATTTTGATTAGTCAAAATCCGTAATTAGTGACAAGTCAAAGCCATAATTACGGACCAGTCAAATCTGATCTTGACTGTATGAAGGGGTAGGATCACTTCTTTACTTCTCAAATATTTATCACTTCTCAAAATAACCTTTGGCTATATACATACATACATACATACATACATATATGTGTGTGCGTATATAGGGTTGGGTTCATGTGATACCAGCATGTTTTCGTGATACACGTGAGAACACGTTTTTACACTTGAAATTTCACATCAAAACGTTGTGAAGGTAAAATAAATCTGAACCTTCACAACAAAAACACTGTGAAGGTTACCTTCACAGTGTTTTGTTGTAAAATTTCAAGTGTAAAAAACTAACGAGTGATGTCACGAGTCTCATGAAAACAGTTTGGTGTTACATGATCCCAAGTGTGTGTGCGTGTGTATAGGGGTTGGTTCGTTTGTTAACCATATATTTTGTGTTAACTACATGAATCAATCATGACCACTAATTCATTCAATCTACGGACTAAAATATCAATGGCACTTTTGTAATAATAGTAAAATGAACGCATGGTATGTTGTAACAAACAATAGTGAACAAGGTAAAATTGCAAAAGTCAGGAGTTTTTATTGTGCACCAAATTTCGTTCCCGAAAATCTCTCGTTCATCGTTTTGACTCCATAATCAATCACATTTTATTTGTTCACTTAAGAACAGTTTATTAGTTCATCAATGAACATTTATTTGATAAGTAACAAAAGTCAGTAGTTATGAAAATTGTTCACTAATGAACCTTTGATTGATTATTTGTGTATTAATAATCAATATACCATAAACGAATAAATCATCCGAATCAATATGTTAAATGATACTATGTTCATTTTGATCATCTATCATTTAAATTAATTGAACATAATCATTGAGAATCTTGAAAGGATGATATAATTATCATCCGTAAAAATAAGCAATTACTTTTTATAGCATTCCATTTAATACAATAAAGTTACTTACAAATGAAAATTATATTTGTACCCTTGATTATTGACACCAACATTTGAAGTAACCATAACTAAAGCATGATTTTAATTGGTCCAACGAGTTCACAAAGTAAATACTATCTTTTTGGTTAACAAAAGATCTTCCCTCTCTCTATGTATACATATATATTTGCAAAAATAGGATAGACTAAATTGAGGCAACCTCATGAGTTGACGCACAAGCACTCATCCCTCATTTCATATACTCATTCCCTAGTTCCAATCTTGCACCTTATCATCAACGTGGGATGATAAAACTCAACCATATTCTAATATTTGAGAATACTAAAACCTCATGTTGCCAAATCATAATCCACACACAAACACAAACACAAACACACACACACACACACACACACACATATATATATATATATATATATATATATATATTGATATATCGATTCACTTTAATCCATTACTTGGAGGCAAATGTAGCATAGTTAGCCAATCAACTTTGTTAACTTCAAGTATCCTTGACCTTTTAAGATATATACATAACTACATCTTCCAACATCTTGTTCTCTTATCAATGTGGGATAAACCAAATCAACCACAATTCAATATTTGAGAATACTAAATTCCCATGATACCACCTCAATATCCTCCACCTTTGCTTTATAGAAATATAATGATGATTACTCTAATTTTATGTGTTATTTCTTGATGATTACTCTAATTTTCTTTGGACGTTTCCTCTCGGTAGGAAATCTAAAGTCTACTTTGTTTTCTCATCCTTCAGTAATTTTGTTCGTACACAATTTAACAATTCCATCAAACAATTCCAATGTGACAATGGCAAAGAATGCGATA